GCAAGCCAAAGCTGACCTTGCCCGGCTGGCAATCATCCGGAAACAGCGGGAAGAGGCTGCCAGGAAGAAAGAAGAAGAGAGGAAAGGTAAGTCCTGAGCCCTGGTGCAGCTGCCTGAATCTGGTTCTGGGCAAGCCACCAAACCCTGCACTTCAGTGTCCTCATTGTGCCATGGCGTGGGCTTGGGTTGTTGGGCAGAGGCCCAGCCTGTGTGTATATGCAAGTGCCTTTCTTATGTCAAGGGGTGGTGGGTGTTTGTGCCCATGTCCTAGGGTGCTGGGAGGGTCCAGCAGCAGCCGGGAGTTGGATAAGGGTTTGAATCTAAGCAGAGCACTGTCCACAGCATCTGATGGAAGCCTCAGGGATACAGCTAGGTCTGACCCTCAAGGACCTGCTAAGGTATCTGGTGCCTTGTGCAGTGGGGAGAGCTGCCTCAGGTAACCGCTGTCCATCTGAGGGCTTGAGAGGGTGGGACAGGGGCAGGCTGGACCTCACAGTGCAGACCTGGGTGAAATCTGGCCCAGCTGTCCCTCCTCCCCGATGCTCTCCCTCCAGTGGGGTCAAAGGTTGGCAGCGGGGGCTGTGGGATTTGGTCTGGTTTGTAAGTCGAATGCTTATGACCTTCTGTCTCCTGGTCTCTTACACTCTATACATGGAGGGACCACGAGAGCCCTTAGGGATCTGCTGTCCTGCCTCCTCGCTAATTCACAAGGCAGCCAAGGCCCAGAAGGGAAAATCAGCTGCCCCAGGGTTGTCACTGCATTGGAGATAGCCTGCTCTCCCAGCTTCCCCCCCGGAAGCTCTCGCTTCACAAACCCTAAACCCTTTGAACGTTGCTGCTTATTGGAGGCTGCAGCACCTACAGGGAGAAGGTGTAATTGCAGGGTCCTGCCTGGGGGTGGGGTTAGAGATTTCTCTCTGCCCAGTAGATTGTGCGTTGGTGCCCCTGTTGGGCGCAGTGGCTCCCCCAGGAACCCTCTTCTCCCTGGGTCTGTTCCTCTTCTGCCAGCTGAGCCAGTTGCCCAGAATGTTTTCTGAGGTCTTGAGCCCTACAGTGCTGTGCTCCCGGGATGTGTGTGGTGGGGGGAAGGGTGGTTTTTTGCTAACACCTGCCCTTCCCTTCCCACCCTCAGCAAAGGATGATGCGACTTTGTCGGGAAAACGAATGCAGTCGCTGTCCCTGAATAAGTAGCACGGCCTGCGGGAGGAGGCACCGGGGATCCGGCCACGCTGCCAGGCCCTCTGCCGAGTCTCGCCTGCCCCACCCTGGCGCCGCCACAGCAGCCCCTCACGGCAAGGAGCCCCTGCAGCCTGGGGTCTCCTCTTCACCTTGGCACAGAAATCATTTGGGGGGATGGTAGGGAGGGCTGGGGGGAGGGGGCAGCTGCTATCTTTGAGACAGAAAGATGCGGGAGAGCGTTTCATATGTAACCATTCGGATGTTTTTGCTGTTTTTAGAATTCAGAACTCTCGTTGGGGGTGCCTGGGAGGTGGGGTGAGAGGAGCTTCCATTTGTCCCGTAGGTTGCACGGTAGGGGGTGGTTGTGTGTGGGGCAGCTGCTGACAAGTTTGCAACAACCAGCCCTAGTCTCTGTTGCCTGGGTGCTCACTGAGAGGGGCTGTTGTCTGGTAGTCCATGCCCCTGGGTCCCTGAGGGTCATGGCTTGTCTCCAGCCAGTCCGTTCTGCCCTTCCCTGCCCCATCCCCACCCTTTTGGCCAGAGCTCGGGCCCATTCTTAACCCTACCCATTGATCATTTCAAGAAACCTCTGTTTACTGTGCAGCACCCAGGCAAAACATGCTCCACAAGTCCAACTTGTATATTTGGCAGATTAAACTTGACATTATCGTAATCTTTGTTCTGTGATCCGTTTGGGGGCACTTTGTGCCTGGGCCCTTTTCACCCAGGAGGGCACGGGTTTGCTCTCAGGTCCATCTCCACATGGTTCAGGCAGCACCCAGCAGGACATGAGGACTGGTCCCTGGGCATCTGAGCTAGGAGAGACCTCAGGATACAGAGTTAGCCCCTCCCTTCATTTAACCCAAGTATGGTGGATCTGGAGCCCGAGTGGCTGGCGACCCGTCCATGCTCCATAGCAAGCTGGCAATAGCACCGTACCTCCCCGTCCTGCCCTTCAGGGGCCCCCAGCCTTAACAGTCTCAGAATTTCAGTGCTGGGAGGAAGTGTCCTGACACCCAGCATGGCTGCCAGGCATTACCTCATGCCATCCTTACCTCCCTGGATGGTGGGGATGGCGGCAGGGAAACTGAGGTTTGGCACAATCATGTGAACCACCTGCAGGCTTGGCCACTGTGCCTGTCCCTTCTCCTGCACCCCTTCATGAGGGACACTCTGCCTTGTGAACACCAGCATCCTTTGTATACGGTTCTGAGGTCAGTAACTGGTGCCAAGCAGGGGTTTGCCCTGAGGTCAAAAAGCGGGATTGAGTGGCAGAGATGGAAATGGACCCCTGACTTCCAGTGACTCTTGCCACACATTCCCTGGGCGTGACCTTGCTGGAGCCTCAGAAGGGATACAAAAACTGCCCGCAGCTGCAGCTGGTGGAAAGCCCCTGACCCTGGACCTGAGGAGCAGGACCCCCCCATCAGAGGTTTGCCAGAGCACCGTCCCCTCCCCTCACCCCTTGGAGGTCATGCCACAGCTCAGTTTCAGGTCTGTACCGAGAAAAAGAGGTTCTCTGAGAAGATGAACAAGAAGGTGGTAGCTGTTTGGCAAGATTCACGGACAGAGCACCCAGTCCTTGGCTCCAAGGGCTGCCAGCAAGCAGAACTAGAGCCACACAGGGTGATAAGGAGGCATCTTCTAATGTGCTGGAAGCTGGAGGTTTGCAATAATAGCTGGCATGGAGAGGCCGTGTTTGGCCTGGGTCAACAGGGCTCCCGGGGTCCTCAGGACTTGTCCTCATCTTGTTGGACCTCTGTGTGAGACCAGAGCCAAGGACTTCCCTGATGTCTGCAGGCTGACGAGTGGTTGTACAGATCTCACCTGTGTAGCTGGGTGATGTGCCGGCAAGACTGTTGCCTTGAAGCATTTCCTTTCTGGCTCAGCTAGAGACCCTGACTTACATCGAGTACATGTCACCAGAGGCTCCTCCAGGGGGGCTTGGAAGTCAGACCTGAGATTGGATCCTGGCTCTGCCACCTCCTGCCTGTGAGACTTTGAGGAGGTAACTTCTTTCTCTGGCTTTCTTTTAAAAGATGGTAACAAGGCCTTTTTTTTTTTTTTTTTTTTTTTTTTTTTTTTTTTAAGGTTTACTTGAGAGAGAGAGTGGGTGGGGGGCAGAGGAGGGAAAAAGAGAATCCCAAGCAGGCTCCACACTCAGCTGGATGCAGGGTTCGATCTCCCCACCCTGAGATCATGACCTGAGCCAAAATCGTGATGGACACTTAACTGACTCAGGTGCCCCAAGGCCGCCTTCCCAAAGTGGGGACACAGTGACCCCTGTGTGGTAGGATTCTCCCAGGTGTTTCTCCACTGCTCGCCCAGGTCATCCCATCTACTCCTGGTCCCTCATCCCTACAGCTTGTTGGTCCCCAGAGTCTGTGCTATCCCCAGGTCACCTCACACCCACAGAACTGCAGCAGCCACCTCATGTCTCTGCCAATTTTAGTGGCCTGATTCCCCGGGATGCCAAGGACATCCAGGAGCTGGTCTCTGGGGACCTTCCCAGCCTCACCACCCACCTCATCCCTGTCCTGCACCACATCAGTCCTCCAGCTCCTAGAAGGCTCAAACCCTTGGTTACAGCCCCTCTTGCACAGACTTGCCTAGAATCTTCCCTCTGTCCCAGTCCCTCCTTTTCTTACTCCACCAGCTTCCTCCCCCAACAATGGTTATCATCATCAACTGCCCCCTCTCCCCGCCCCCCGACTATTAGCTTCTTGTCCCCTGCACTGTCCTTAAGGTCCTGTGGGGTGTGGCACAGAGGAAGGCCCAGAAAGCCTAGCTAGTGGTCTTAGTGTCCACTGGTGATGTGTACATCACAGAACAGGGTCCAGATCCCCTCCTTTCCTGATGGGACTTCCCACCTGCCACAAGAGCCTTGGCCATGCTTGGAGGAGCCCAACTTTGTTTCCCATAATACCTTTTCCTTCTTCTTAGAAGCAGAAGATTGAGCCTGTCGGTTTTAAGCCAAGTATCTGTCTATACTGAGGGCAAACAGTTGACATCTACGAAGCCTCTACTTTAGGCCGCCATAGCTAAACAAGAGCATGCTTGCTGCTCATCCTTCTCTAAGAGTAAGGGGAGCCTCTTCGGCAAGGTCTCAGAAGAACACTGATACTCTGGGGTCACTCTGCACCCCTGAGGTGAGCTCTTAAAAAAGGGGTAGGTGAACACCTCCCTGGCCCTTCCAGGGCCGACAACAATCAAGTCAGCAAAGGGACCAACAGCTCACTTTACAGAGGGCTGGTACAGGCTTTGACAAGCATTTAGAATAAGAGGAGTTGTGTGGCCTGTCTCCTTGGATCTTAATCACGGGCCTCTTCCAATCAAGGGGGCTATCCTGAGGGATAGACCCTAGAACAATCTGAGAGAAGGCATGTTTAGGTAGCCTTTGTCCTGCAAATGTAAGGACAGTTCACAATTAGGATCTGTGGATGTAATGACGCAGCTATGACTGAATAAATAGGTAAGTGAGAAGCTTGTGTTAAACTAGAAGGAGGCCCTCTGAGTGAAATAGGAATGAGTGGGGGGAAATTGAGGAAATGAGCACATTTATCAGAAACCAGCTGCAAACATCAATTTCCATTAAAGCCCAGAAGCAGCCTGGAAAGGTGTGCAACCACTGGTCTAGGACTGTGACTACAGAGTGACAGCCACCAGGGTCTGCCCCCCCACCCCCACCCCCTGCAGGACTACAGGGGAAAGGAAGTATTCAGGAGAAGATCTTTAGGTTTAAGGATCAATTTTGCTGGTAAGCAGAAGCAAGCTACCTGTGCCCATGCAAATACGGACTTCTCCCAAACACAGGAGACCAGTTCTAAGATTGCTTTTTTATTACCTCCATGTTTTTGAAGCAGTTCATGACCAGCACAGTGCTTTGGGAACATTTTTGTTTTTAACAATAAATGAAAACATTTCTCTGACAAAAAGACATATGTTCCTTCAATAGGTAAGAAAAGCTTCCCGCCCCTCCCCACTTTGCCCTCCCCTCTGGCTGGAGCAGTCTCCAGGGGGACCCAGACTACTACCCTAGAAACATTCAGCAAAGCGACCCTTAGCCTTCCTGACCCCCTTCCCCAGCAGTGGGGATGAGGGCAACATATTCCTCATGGGTCATTTGATCTTGAGGTCCTTCAAGGCTGATTCCAAGCTCTGGAAAGACAGCAGAACAGACAGGCTGGTTCTCACAGTGGTCCAGCCAGGCAGAGGACAGAGAACCTGGGCTTTGGAGCTGGACAGAGTTGGTTTTAATCCAGCCCTAAAGGGAGGTGCCCAGGGTGGTGCTACTCTTCCCTCTTATTCATCCCAAAGAAGTGCCTTTCTTCTGTAGGGAAGGAGAGGGCTTTCCAGGGAGGACGAGGGGGAGGAAGGGCCATGGTGGGCTAGGACTCACCTTCACATCCCAGATGCTCATGCCACCATCCATTCCTGTGGTGCAGAACTGTGAGCACTCAGCCTTGCCCCCGCTGAGCACCGAGATCTGGCTGCAAAGAAGAGGGGGGCTTGACGGGTCCCAGCTGGAGCCCTGCTTGCCCTCTGGGGAGCAGCCAACTCCAGTGAGAAGCACTGGGATGTACAGTTGGGGTGCTCAGCACAGAGCCCGGGAGGTGGCCCGGGGGGTTGCATGAGTCTGCTTTGAGGAGGAGCAGGAATGTGCAAGGTGCCAAGGGAAACCCAGGGAAATAGAGCCAGATGTGCAACGGCATGAATCACATGTGTGTGGGGGAATGTCCGGGGTGACCGTGGAGCAGGATGGGGGCACAAAGCAAAACCTGGAGCTGGGAGGACATGCGGGGTCATTCCGATAAGCCCTGAAGGCTGGGCTCAGGGGTTACTCTGAAAACACTGGGCCTGATGGCCATGGGAGGGGGTCACCCAGCCAAGGGGTCAAGTCAGGAAGTCTTCCCAGGTTGCTGCAGGGTGGACACCTGTGGCTGGCAGGATTGGAGCGTTGTGGATAATTTCTCTTCATCCTGCCTAGTTGCACAAGGAGGCAACAGCAGGACCACTTCAGCCTCAGCCCTGCCCTGCAGGGTTGGGTGCCCTCTGGTCGTCCCACAGACCTTCTTCTACACAGCCATGTTCAAAAAATGCAGAGCACACCCACTGCTGGGTTTGCATCCTGGCCCGATGTTATTTTTGTGCAACCTAGAGGGTCACCCCATTTCCTCAGTCAGGGCCTCCAGCCCCTACTTTGGCTTTATTTCTCCTCCCAGTGGCATCAGTCCCGCTCTCACCTCACGCTGTTCTTATGCAGTGAGTCCAGGCCGGAGCCAGAAGCCACGCTGCCCTCTGAGCTCGCCTTCTTGTCCAGGTTCTGGAAGCGCTCTCGGGCGGTCAGGCCACGCTGCGAGCTTTGCTTGGGCACGTCCAGCCGCCCACCAGAACTCAGTGTCCCTGTGGTGCTGTCATAGGTAAACAGCACCGGAAAACAGTCGTGGCCCTGCAATAGGGTGGGGGTATCATTGGAGCAGGCCCGAGGGCTGGCATAGCACCCCTATCTTCGGTGTGAGTCAACAGGCTGGAGACCAGGCGTGACAGATGGGGGCTGTCTGGCCAGAAGCCGGGTGGCAGGACTTGGGTGGAGCTACCGGGAAGCCAGTGCCAGTTCAGAGACAGCTATGCTGACCCCAGGCATACCAACAGGGACCACATGCTGGGGTGCATCTAGGGGTGCCCCCTCCCCTGGTAAGGCCAACACCCAGTTGAGAAAACTTGTCCAAGACTCTCCTAGAAGCTTGGGGACCTTCTGCCCTGCCCAACCGGTTACACCCACTCTGGGCAAAGGCCCATAGCTGGATGCTTCTGTAGGCAAACCAGGCCTGATCCCCCCCGGGACCTGAGGTTTGTTGAGGGGTGAAAAGGGATTGGAGAGATCAGTGGGCAGAAGGATGGAGGGCAGTGCCCTTCTGGACGTGTGTTCCCAACTGTGCTGCCCCCACACAGCCAGAGTTAGTAGGGAAGCAGAAACCCTAGAGTGCAGGGCACAATTTTCTGCTCCCCCTTCTCCCTTCACAGCAGCCAGGGAGCATGCTAGAGACCAGGTGGCCCCTCCCGGCCTATTTGGACCAGGAAGGAAAAAAAGACTAGGGGCTGGGGGAGGGGGAGCAGGGAACCAGTAAAGGGCCACCCTCATCACCCCTCCCTCTCTCCCTCTCCCCGCCTCACCGCTGCCACCAGACTGTTTTCTGTGATGAAGGTCAGGGCCAGCAGTGGCAGCGTTTCAGAGGCCAGAGTGGCAACACTGAGAGAGAGAGACAGAGGTCAGCCACTCCAGCCCCTCCTGCCCTGTGCCCGTCACCCCCCTGCTGCCCCCCATGGCCTTTACTCACGCCATTTTCTTGTCGGCATCGGCTAGGCACACGGTGCTGTCGTGGCTGACCCAGGCCACGCGGCTGCCACTGGCCGAAAAGCAGACACCGTGCACCCAGCCACAGCTACTGCTAGACTCAAACATCAGCTCCCCAAAGGGCATCTTGGAGCCCCACGGGGTGGGTGCTGGCCGCTCCTCCACCTCCTTGATGTAGGCCGAGAAGATCCTGCCAGGGCAGAGCAAGAAACAGACCTCCATGACTGGGGCGTCTCTCCCAGACCCACCTGGTGAGGTCACAGTGCTCAGCCCGGAACCGGTGGGAACCAGAGCCAGCTCTTCATGGCCTGAGTCCTCATGCTTGGGCCAATCTGGGCCTCGGTGCCCTCTGCAGCAGAATGGGGCCAGGAGGTCGCCCATGAACTCCCAGGGCCCTGGGGCCCTCATCTGAGGACTAACAACCTGACACAGCCCCTGGGGCTGTCCTGGTCTCCACCATGCTGGCGCCTATGCTCCCTTCTCCTCCTCCCTGCTCTGCAACTTGCCAGCCCAGACCGCCTTCCCGCAGCTCTAGCCAGCACATGTTAACGCCCTCTCTGTCCCAGGGCCAGCTTGGGGTCACCGGACAGATCACCAGCTCCCCGCCCACCAACAGAGCCTCAGCAGGACATTACTGTCTCTATGTCCCGGGCCTCCAAAGGCGTCCTGGTGCCTGCTGGAGCAGAGACCCAGGCCTTGGGAGGCCCACAGGAGCTGCGCCCAGAAGTAAAAACAGCCAATGGCAACTGGAGACTATATTCCAGGCTCAAGGTGACAAGGCAGGTGTGTTGCTTCTCGGTCACGTATGCCTTAGTGTGAGAAGGTAGAAGCCACTCCTTGTCCTTGGGATGTAAGACAAGGAAACAAGGACGGGAGGGCCTAGGAAAGAGTTCTCGCTGCCATTAAGCAGTGGTAAGGGGTGCGGTGCATCCTGCCAAGTCTCTCCATGGCCCAGAGACAGGACCCAGTGGCGACCCCTCCAAAAGTAAACATCACAGATGCAAGACTGAGGCCCCAGATCCCCCCACAGGGCTCCCTCCACCTTCCAGTCCCCGGTTCCTGGGCTGACGTCGGCTCACCTGCACTTGAAGTCACAGGAGCCCGCGGCCAACAGCACATTGTTGGGGTGCCAGTCCAGGCTGAGGACCGTGGAGCGAATGGGCTTCTTGATGTGCTTGCACACCCACCTGGACATACGGAGGGGAGGGGGACTGGTAGCTTCAGCACCCCAGGGACTCTACACTCCCACGCGGCCCTGCAGACCCCCAAGGTCCCCAGAGGGAGGGGCCTGGATCAGGCTGGTAGGGTACTGGGTGCCCTCCAGGTGGGAACTCCATCCCTGGTCTCCCTTAAGCTTCATGACAACCCTGGGACCGGCTCAGTCACACAGCAGCTAATTGGCCAGGGCAGAATTCGATTTCAGGTCTCCCAGATTCCAGCCTAGGCTCTGCCTACAGGGACCCAGAGGAAAAGATGATGATGTGGCCCTGGACCATGACAGGCTGGACATCTTGGACAAGTGACCTTATGGAGCCTTACTTTGCTCATCTGAAAAGTGGGGACAACTGATGCCCAGTCCAAGGGGCAGTCAGGGAGTGAGTACCAGGCTTTGTGCAGGGCCTTGTGCAGTGCCCACAGAGGTGGTCCTGCTGTGGTCTGTGCCCTCAATACTGAGACAGGGCTGTGGGAGTGCTCCTTTGCCTCCCCTACAAGGTCCAGAGAGGACATTCTTCCCCAGTGTCATGTGAACAAGGTTCCTGAAACTCTGTCCAGTACTTTCTGGGACACTAGTCCCAACACCTTTTGGTCGGTGGCCCCGGGATCCCTCCAAACTGACTCTGACCCTACCTGGGCACTCACCAGTCATTTTCCTGCTCAAAATAGCAGATGGAGATGACACGGGAGCCACTCCCCACAGCAAACTTGTTCTCATGGGGGGCCCAGCGCACACAGCGGGCAGCCCGGTTGATCCGCAGGATGACTAGTGTGGGCTTCCATGTGCGGCCCTTCAGCGTCCATACGTAGGCATTGCGGTCTGTGCCACAGGTCACAATTCGGTTACTCTCAGGGGCCCAGTCAATGCCTGTGGAATGGGGAGGAAACAGGCTGAAGCCATCCAAGCAGAGGTGGCTCTCTGGCATCCACATAGGAGGGGCTTAGAGGCCATAATCTGGATGAGAGCTGCTCCACGGGATGCCTGTAGAACTGATACTGAGAGTGTTACGGCTCCCAAAATATCACCAAATGTGCTGGAAAGCCAAGAGACAGAAAATAAATGAGTTCTTGGTAATGCTGAGCTGAGCTGCTGGATCAAGCCTTTTCCTGAAGCCCAGAAACATCTTCAGTTTTTCAGTAACATAAGCCAACATCATCCCTTTGTAACTTAAGCCAGTTTGAAATACTGGTTGTGTTACTCGCAACCCAAATTATCCTAACAGTGATTGGGAGAGTGACTGGCTGGCCCTGCATCATCCCATCTCCTTTCAAGAGAGTGATCCCAGTCAGTCTGACATACCTGTCACCTGCCCATTGTGTTCCTTGAGCTCATGCACCTTGACCCACTTGGCCCCGCTCTTCTCATAGATGTGCACCTCGTGGTTGTTGGGGCAGATGGCAATCTCTGCAGGAGAGAAGGGTAGGGGTAGGTAGTAGGAGGTGGGGTGCATGCCCTGGTTCCCCCTTCCCTCATGACACCCCTCTACCAGGAGCACCCTTCACGCCACTTGGGCAACACATGGTCCTTCACCCCCTGCCTTGGTGCAGAGTTCCTTGAAGCACCCTGCCCCCCCTCCCCTGGGACTAGCCATCCTTCACCAGTACCCACTACCCGCAGGCACCCCCACAGCAGGGGAGCTACCCCCCTCTGCTCCCCAACTCCAGCCCTGGGCTGCTTGCTGTTCCTGACAATGCCAGGCTCTCCCGCTGTGGGGCCTATGGCATGGCTGCCTCCCTCACCTCCAAAAGACCCCCTGGCCACCTGTTCTAAACCAGCACCTCGCCTCCAGTGCTTTCCCCTCATCCTCTCGTGTTTCTCTCCAGGCTGTCTTCATTCCACCACCACTCCCGACCCACCCCCCACCCCCCACCCCCAGTCTGGGAGCCTGAGCAGGACCTGCACCGGAGCTGGACGCAGGGCTGTGCTCTGGCGTCCACTCAAGTGCCCCTCGCTGGCTGCCCCTGCACGTCCCCAGGGCTCGTCCCTCTTACACCCTCAGGACTGGAGGCACAGGAGGGGGCCGACCAGCCCTCCGAGCCCCAGTCCGGGGCGCCTGGCTGTTTTACTGCCCGCACACAGTCCGGGGGGCCTCCTGCCCCATGTCATCCTGTGGGTCGCGCACAGCACTCACGGGTGCGGTCCTTGTTCCAGGCGTGGCAGCTGATGGGCTCCACCAGGAAGCTGTGGTAGGCCATGGCCGCTTAGCTCCTGTGCCATAGAGAGGAAGGGACCCCGAGTCAGCCCCAGCTCTGGTCCCGGCCCCGCCTTCCCATGAGTGCGGTGTGCTGACCCTGACCCGGGTCACCTGTGCTCATCATCTGTGCCTCAGTTTCCTCAAGGGTAGAGGCCCCCCCCCAACCTGGCAGAGGAGCAGAGTGAAGGGCACCTGGGTGGCTGAGTCCATTAAGTGTCTGCATTGGGCTCAGGTCCTGATCCTGGGTCCTGCTCAGCAGGGAGCCTGCCCCTCCCCCCATATTGTGCGCTCACTCGTTCAAATAAATAAAATCTTAAAAAAAAAAAAAAAGGATGGAGTGAGAATGAAATGAGAGGGGCACCAGCGCACAGCCCGCAGCCTTCCCCACCCAGAGCTCTGGTTCTCTGGAGAGGGAGGGGAGGAAGCCGGCCTGCAGGTGAGGGCACAGACCCACACAGACATAACCCATCTTCATCCAGAAAACCACTTACTGCTCCTTCCATAGGGAGGAGGGGCGGGACTGGGCCCCAAGTGGGTGGCTGGACTGTGGGGTGAAGGTGGGTACAGAGGGCAGCACCCCTGCGCTGACTGCACCTCCCCAGCCTCCCCCCACTGCCACTGAGCTTCAGGGGTGCCCACTGCACCTGAGGTGAGGTGGGATCCCCAGCACAGTGGGTGAGGGGCAGTCCCCTCCCCCCCACACCCAGCTCTGCCCACCCCTGTTCCATTTGGCAAAGTCCTACTCCTCTAGAAAGGCCCAGAGTGCACATCACTTCCTCAAACCCATTCTCTCCTCACCCGGCACCCGGTAGGTGTTCAGGAGACCCAGCCCCCATGGGGTGACACCCAGCCCTGACCCACCCGTGCAGGATTCAGTCTCCCCAGCTAGCCCAGTGGCTAATCCCGGGGCACAGGGGCCTTGGGCCTTGGCACCGGCTGTTACCCCGCCTCCAGAGCTCTTCCCCCAGGGGCCTCCACGGCCAGCCCCGCGTTTCCCCTTCACGTCCCAATGCCACCGTCACAGCGAGGCCTCTCTGACCATCTCTGGCCACTGATTCAAAACTGCAGCCGCCGTCCCCGCCCCAGCACTCCCTATTCTGGACTGAATTCCCACAATTCCCACTATTGACCATTTGTTACAGGGACCTCATCCACGTCGCCGGCTGCCTTTCTCGCCCAGCTGGGCCTTGCCGAGCTTGATGCAGACAGGTTTCACTTGTCCACACTGCTTTCCCCAGTGCCTAGATGCTTGGCACGCAGTAGGTGCTCGATAAGCTCTTTATTAAAAAATTAAAAAAAAAAAAAAACCACCAAAACACTACTGGGGTGCCTGGCCAGCTCAGTTGGTAGAGGGTTGTGAGTTCAAGCCCCATGTTGGGGGTGGAGATTACTTAAAATCTTTAAAAACACAAACACACACAAAACCCCACCACTGGGGCACCTGGGTGGCTCACTGGTTGAGCATCTGCCTTTGGCTCAGGTCATGATCCTGGGGTCCTGGGAGCAGTCCTGTATCAGGTTCCCCAAAGGGAGCCTCCTTCTTCCGCTGCCTGTGTCTCTGCCTCTCTCTGTGTCTTTCATAAATAAATAAATAAATATAATCTTAAAAAAAAAAAAAGCCACACACCACCATTTCCTGAATGCTCCTTACTTGCCAGCTCTAAGCAGTCCAGGCATTTTTTAAATCCAGTATACTTGACAATGTTATATTCATTTCAGGTATAAAATATAATATAGTCACTCAATTCTATAGGTTGCTCAGCACTCATCAAGATAAGTAGGCTCTAAGCCCTTTACCTATTACACTCATCCCCTCACCCCAGGTGTTCTGGACTTCAGTGCTCGGATGCCACAGCCCCAGTGACAGATGGAGAGGCTGGGGCTCAGTGAGGGGAAGCTACCTGCCCAGTCACACCTGGCAAGTGTCACCAGGAGCCTGGCTGCCTCCCCCACCAGTTGGCAGCTCCGCATCCCATGGATGGGGCTAAAAAAGGCTTCCCCCTAGTTCTGGGCCTGGGCCCTGGAACCCCCCGGAAACTAGGGAGCACCTACCTGGCCCCACAGAAGAAGGGCCACCTGTTCAGGCTGAGCTTACCCACATGGCTGGCCAGGAGGCCTTGTGGGAAGGCCCAGCGCTGAGCCAGGGCCCTGAGGCCAGGGAGGGACGAACTGCATGTAGCCTACTGCACAGCCGGGCAATCCAGGGCTCTGGGACAAGCTGGCCCCAGGCGGCACCAGGGATCCTGTGGGGCCTGGCTCCCTGACCCTGGGCTCACCAACTGCGGTCCCTGCTCCTCCTGCCAGCCCCAGATGCAAAATTTTCCTTTATAGCAGGAAGCTCTGGAAGGTTCCTGGGGCAGCCCAGGTCTGTCTCACGGAGACACACGTGCACGTACAGGGCAGGGACATGCTTAGAGCTCGGCACCAAGTGAGTCCTCAGTCCACACTGCTCAGTCCACAGCCCAGGCTCAGGCCGCACACGCTCCCATGTGTTCAGCCTTGCACGTGTATACACAAGACACTCCTCCTTCCCTGTGTTCAGCCTCATGCGTGCACACACACAAACACACACACACACAAGCGCACACACACACACACACACACACACACACAAGCACAGTGCTCCCACCAGGGCTGCTTCCCCAGCCTGTCCTTATAAGGCCTCTTGTGGAAGGCAAAGGCCCCGGAAGTGGTGCTTTGGGGGCCCTCAGCTCAGGTCAGCAGGCTTAATGGGGACTTTCCTCAGCACTTCCGGTGCCTCTGGGCTGGGTCAGCACTGGCATCCAGCTTGGCTGGAGCCCTTCATCACCATCCATACCACAGACCACAAGACTGAGAAGTGGGAGTAGCAGGTCCATCTGTGCTCATCTGCTCACCCCTCCCTTTTCCATCACTGCCAGGGAGGCATAGATCAGGCCAGAGGCTCACTCCCACACACCAGCCAGGCTCTTGTTGGCCGCTGAACCAGGGTAGAGGCCAGCCAGCCACTGCCCCTTCAGCCCCTGGTGGCCCGGAAGCAAGAAGCCCTGGGGCTACAGCCCGGGGGGGTCTCTGGGCCCACAGCTAGGCAGCAGAATGCAACTTCCCACACGGTGCAGCTGCAGGTCTCTGCTCCTTGCAGGGTCTTGGTAAGAGTATCTAGAAGTGTGGGCCAGGCTGTAAGAGCCTGTTTAGTGTATGTTCCAGAGTTCCAGGCTGTGAGGATGGAGAGGTTGAGTCTGCTGAAGATGGCAGCCCCCATACTAGTGAGTAACACAGCCAAGAGGACTTTGGGAGCCCTGACCATGGTTTCCTGGGATCTAAAGATCTGCAAGTGGGAGAGAAAGGGGCCACAGGCACAGCGGGACAGGCGGGGGGCGGGGGTAGTTCAGATCACATCTATCAGCCAACCACACTTTAGCATGAATTCAGATAGAAATACTCATAGTACATGGAATTAACTAACATCTTAAAGGGCGTAGGGGGTAGATACGGGTGAAGGGGCTGGGAGAGAAGGTGCATTTTCCTCCTTTTCATAACTTCTGCAAAGCAACTAAAACCAGCAGGGCCTCCGCAATGACTCCCAACCCCCCATGTTACAAATGAGGAAGTGGCAAACCAGAGAGAAGAGTAGCTTCTCTGGCCACTGTTGCCTCAGGGCAACATCCTCCTAGAGCAGAATCACTGGATTGTTCCCGTGGTCAGGCACAGCAACAACACAGCCTTCATACTGGGCCACCCCCTGCTGCGGGAACTTTGACTTAATCCTTCCCAGGAAAACCTCCATGGGGGGACGGGAAGGCACCAACTGCCAGCCAGTCACCCTAAAGACTATGCAACTAGAGTTGCTTTTGCCCAAGCCTGTTAACAACACAAAGCCTCAGCAATGGCTCCGGGGAGGGGGAGACAAAGGGAGGCTGAGGCCCGTGGCCTCCAGGACACCCACCCACTTGTCAAGGCAGCCCTGTGAGCCAGCACCATGGGCCCATTTGACTGTTGAGGACAGAGAGAGGAACCGTGTTGGGACTTGGAGTCCACGTGCAGTGATCTGTGCCTCATTATCCCAGAAACAGAGGCTGGGGGAGTGTGGGTCAAATGTGGAGTCTCCCCTAGCTGGCTCCCCTCTGCCAGCCTAACGCCAGGATCTCTGTGTTCCCAGCGGCACGTCTCCTGCATCCTTTCAGCACACAGTGAAGGCTCAGTACAAATGGGCTGGAGATTACCCAGAGCTGGGCGTGGGAGAGCACAGGGAAGAGCGGCATGAGGTCTGGGAGGGGTTTTGGGTCTCCAGAGTGTGGTTTCCATCCAGAGGGTGCCATGCCAGAGACCATGCACCGGGGTATGGATGTGAACTATCTAGGGGCATGGTAGGTGCTTTGTCCACCCACGTATCCTCAGCACCAATTAGAGTTCCTGGCACATAACAGGTGTTCAATACGTATTTCTTGAAGGCAAATTGAATAAATCCCATCCTTTTCTTTAGGGGATAGGCTCCAAGGAATGAATATGCTTTATTATTTCAGTGACATATGTATGCAATTTGTAAATATTTACTGGGGAGTATGTGTTCAGTTTTGTTTTGTTTTCTTCCTGATTAGGGCCAATGATTAGCAAAACTTGGAAATCTGAAGCACTTGGGAAGAACTCAGCTCCCCTCAAAGCAAAGCAAGCCAGGTAGAGCCTTGGGCTGCCTGACCAAGGGCCTCAGGGCTCCTTCCTTACAGCGCTAGGGTCAAATTCTAACTCTCCATACCAACTGGATGCCCTCAGCCAATACTTCCTTCACATCTCTACCAGAAAAGGTTGGGGCTGACAAGGCACTCACTAGCTGTAGGTTCCTTATTGCTTCTAGAAAAACCTGGCCAAGGTTCTCTGAAGCCAGAGGTTTGGCTGTGTCTGAGGCTAATCTAGGCAGGAGCCATCTGGAGCAGGATCTTGGCCCTACAGGCACTCAGGGAAGTCCCCACCCAGCTCAGACGCTCCAGGGAGTTGCCAGTAAGCCATTTTGTACACGTGCTAAGCAGTTACTCAACTTCCTGTTGTGTATGGAATAGGCCTTGCCACCCCAGACCAGCCAAAACCTCCTCCCCAACTCTGCTCCTGAAGTCTTAACCAGGCAAAAATCAAGTCAAGACACACAAATGAAAACAATCATAGAAAGCACCATAAAGCGTACTAATAAAGCAATCCAAACAAAACAAAATCCAAAAACACATAAAACTCAGTGTTGGCAGGGTTGTGTTGAAATTCTCATTTGTTCAGGCTTTCGGAAGAGCGATGTAAAAACAATTCAACAACTGGGTAGGAACAAGCAGAATAACACAAACAGGAACTTAAAAATTAACACTCTTTGGTGGCATAGATTCATTTTGGTGCTAAGAAAATAACCACCGCCTTTTTTTTTTTTTAAAGCAAACATGTTCATAATAACCCCCTTCAGAATGGTGGAAGGGTGGAAAAATCCAGATGACTACAAATATGGCAAGAGTAAATTGTGACACTAACATGTTGGGATATCATTTAACTATTTGAAAAGACCTGTGTGGATTATGTACATAGACACACATAAACTACCTTTATCGGCATCTTTAAATGCACAGCATTTTTACCCACAGCTTTGACATACATTCTTTTACCCCCAAGAGCAAGCCTAAAGGGTTGTTTTGGGTTTCTTTCGTGTTTTTTTAGACCTTCATTTTGTACATGAGGAAAAAGACTCAGAGTCAAGAATCGGGGATGCCTGGGTGGCTCAGTAGTTGAGCATCTGCCTTTGGCTCAAGTCATGATCCTGGGGTCCATGATCGAGTCCCACATCAGGCTCCCCTCGGGGAGCCTGCTTCTCCCTCTGCCTGTGTCTCTGCCTCTTTCTGTGTGTCTCTCATGAACAGAGATATAAAATCTTAAAAAAATAAATAAATAAATAAATAAAACAAGAATCTCTCAAAGCCACACAGCTCCTACATGGCAGTTTGGGATTCTGACCCCCAAATCTCTTTGGTAAGTGCGGGCAGGCCCTACAATGGTAGTGGCAGCAGGAAGAGCACCGATCTGTACCCTGCGTGTGCCTGGCACAACCCAGTGCCTTCCACACATTATCCCAGGTAAGCCTCGCCACGTGAATGGTCCCCATTTTACAGAGGAGGAAGGTTGAGGTCCAGAGCCGTCAGGTGGCTTGCTAAGGAAGCTGGCGCGCTTAACCCCGGCCCGGGGGCCTCCCGGGAACCGGTGCCCGTGGCCGCGGGGCAGCACCACCTGCCAGGCGCGGGGAGCCCGCGGACGGCCTCCAGCTCAGCCCCGCGTTAGGCGGACTCCGGGCTCCGGGCTCCCCGCTAGTCCCAACGGCCTTGCTGTCACCGCCCCGGGCGGCCCCGCTGGGTCCCCGCCTCCGGCGAAGGGGGACCCCCTCCGGGTAAGGTCGGCGGCCCCGGCCCCGGGGCGCGAGGAGGGCTGGGGGCCAGGCGGGGGGCGGGGGAGGGGCCAGGTGGGCGGGGGCGCCAGCTCATTTCCCGGCCGGAGCAACCCGGAAGGCTGGAGGATCGAGGGGAAGTGACTGGGCGTGGGGCCCTCGCCGCCCGGAATAGCGGGGGGCAGCGGCCGCGGGGTAGAGCCAGGGAGCGCGGGCCGGGGCGGCGGCGGGGGTCGGGCCAGGGCGCCCCGCGCTTCCCTCGCCCCGAGGCGGCCGCCCACCCCGGGCCCGGGCCGCCGTCCCCCGCCCTGCTCTCACCTCCAGGCGACCCCACGCACCTGGCGAGCCCCCGCCCCGGGCCCCTTCACCCGGGCCCCCCCTCCCCGCGCTCCTGCGCCCCCGCGGGCGCCCCGCACCCTCCCCACCTGCAGGCGACTCCCCGCTAGCCCCTGCGGGCGCCCCTCCCCTCCGGGCGGCCCCCAGCCCCTCACCTCGGGGCGCCCCGGCCGCGGACTCTGGGCAGTCGACGCGCCGAACCGGCTCTGGGCCCCGCGCGGCGCCGCAGCCACTTCCTCGTGGGCGGGGGGCGGGGCCTCAGCCTCAGCCCCGCGGGGACCGGGGCGGCAACCAGGGTGGCGGCCAGAGCCCAGGCCCCGCCCACCCATCCGGGGTGGGGGCTGCGCGGAGCCCCGGCGCCCGGCGCTCATCCGCGACCGCCCCTTGCAACTTTACGCGTGGGGAAACTGAGGCTCGGAGCGGCAGCTGGGCGGGGTGCGCCCCATCCCTCCTCCCGGAGCCGATAGCCACGGGGCGCGGCAAGTGCAGGCCCGGAACCGGGTGCCCGCGGGCGGGCGGGCGGACGGCCCCCGCCCCTCCCCCGCCCCTCCGTGCCCGCCGCAGCACCCTCCCGGGGCCGGGTGCCCGCGGGCTCGCACTGACGACTTCCTGCCCCTGGATTCCGCCGCAGTCCACTTCTGCCTCCCAGCTGCCTGGTGGCCTTGTGACCACTGCATTTGGGTCTTGGGCCGAGTGGTCCCCAGGGGTCTTTCCATCCTTAGCCTCTGCCTCATCGGTGGAGATGTGGCCAGGTGGCTGCGCGGATGGGGGAGCCCCCGGCGAAAACCCTCCTGCGCCCTCTCAGCGGGGGGCTCCTCCCCAGGAGTCCTCCCTCCCAGGCGCAGGCAGCAGGCAGCAGCAAGCCGCACTGGGGCTCTCTAGTCTTTCCGGAGGCAGGGGATCTGGGGCCAGACGCCCACCCTGACAGGTCCCGGGGCTTTGACACATGGTTTTCTTTTTTCCTGGAACACTTTTCCCACCCTGTCCCCCCCTGCAGGGTTTGTCTCTTAGCTCACTCACTCTGTCCACAACCCGCTCTGCCCTGGAGGTGACTGCGGGGCTCCCAGCAAGACCCTGCGCCCACCAGTCCCGGCTGCCATCAACACTGAATCCTGCCCCTGCCAGGTGGCTGGGAGGATTCCATGTCTCCAAACGTGGGAGCTCTTCCAGCAGTGAGCGCGCAGTGAGCACTCAGCAAGCTTCGGCTATGGTTTGAAAGGACCAAAGGACCGCCAGCAGCCTTCCTGGCTGAGACTCTGAGGGGCTGGCACCACCCTCCCATCTAGCTGTGGCCAGTCCCAGCATGGCTGCGGGATGAACAGAAAAAGTTTCAGATGGTCTGTACCAGCACCCCCTTCTTGTGGGGGACAAGTGCAACTTAACACAGAGGGCACATCTGTTGCCTCCCTGGCTTCTAGATGCCCAGGGATTGACCCCAGGGGGAGCTGACCCCCACCTCTGGCATGGGCCTGATGGCTCTAACCCCATCGGCTCCTGGGGTCCCCTGTCCTGAGCTCATGAGCTCAGATGGCCAGGGTAAAGCAAGCCCAGGACATGATGATGATGATGATGATGGTAGTGGTGGCGGTGGAAGGGAGGGAAGACTCTTCTGGGTGAGCTGCATGAATCTGAACACGAAAGTGGAACAGCCACAAGGGAAGCTAGATGACATAGAGCTCAGGTGGAGGAAATCCCAGAGAAATGACCAGCACCCTGGTCAAACTCTGACTGGTCAGCTTGAGCCCAACCTGCTTCCAGAGGTTTCAGACCACTCGGACCGGTGAGCCGAGGTCTACTGTTTAAGCTTGGTTTGGGTTGGGACTGTGTTACCCACCTCTAAAAGCATCCGGACACATCTAAACACCTGAGGGTTACCTCCTCATGGTGAAAACTGATTATAAACTCTGTGAGCGGGAACCGGATTGGCTTTGCTCTGGAGGCCCTCCTGCACCTGGCGTTTGGGAAGCACTCCTCGTGCACCTGCTGCATGAGTGGATGAAGGAAGGAACCCCGACGAGTAGTCTTAGATAAATGAGCTTCGCACAAGGCACTCCTCTTGCAGGGCTGCCTCCATCTCGGACTCTGCAAAGTGAGCAAACTCAGGATAAGCACTGCGGACCCCCCTCAGGGACCTGCAGTCGTGGAGGAAAGACCCAGCGGACAGGAAAGCAGATCTCAGGCCAGGAAGCCACGGCAGGTGTTCTGTGAACCGGCTCCCTAGGGGACCAAGTTCCCCAAGCCCGAAGTGAAGCCACTCCTGGCGTAGAGGGATTTCACTTGGAGTTCTGTAACAGTTCAGAGACCTGGTTTCTTCTGGAAACTGCCCCTGCTCCACCCACCCCAGGGGGACCTGGGGTGAAGATGCTGCACTCCCCTTTCTCTTTTTTCCAAGAACTGCAGCTACTCACCCAGGCTGACTCTTCAGGGTTGGCTGACTTGGAGGAGGGTAATAACTTCAGGTCACCGGGGTATTTTCCGGCTTTCTGTGCCCTTCGTCCTTGCTGCCTCCTGGTCACAAGAGGGCAGCCAAGCGCCAGGCTTCTGCACTCTGGACGCCGTGGGCTGGCCCAGGCAATGGGGAGACCAGGGAGGAACACCTTCCCCAAGCACCCGGTCACATCTTCTGTCTCCGCGTGTGCCCACCTCCAGACGGGGATGATGGGTCTCTCTCCCTGAGATCAAGGGACTGCCACCTGACCCCTGTGAGGAGGAAGAGGAGAAACCCCCGTGTCTCCTTTCCCAGGCCACGTGTGAGGCGGACAAAGCCCAGGAGGCCCAGAACAGGCTTAGCATCCCACGTCCCAGGGCCCCAGTGGGGGCCGCACCTGTTGCCCACACCCTTCCAAGCCACATGGTTTTGTATCAGTTCAGTTGGAAACTACAATGCAACCCCACAAGGTATAGTAAGGAGGGTGCCCTCCTGTCAGTTTCTGTGACCTCCCCGCACCCCTGAGTCTGGGCAAACTCACCTGCACTTGCTCACTAGGTATCTCCACTCCCTGCCCTCGCCCAGTAGGGGGTGTGCTTGGCAGTTACCCCTGGGGCTCTGGAGAGATGCCCCGGTTCAAATGCGGGCTGTCACTCTGCTCTCTGGACTTGGGGTTTTTGGTTTTTTTAAAATATTTTTTAAAAAAGATTTTATTTTGAGACAGAGCAAGAAAGAGAGAGAGAGCGCAAGCATGAGCTGGGGGAGCAGAAGAGAGAGAGGGAGTAGATTCCCTGCTGAGCAGGGAGCCAGATGCAGCAGGGTTGATCCCAGGACCTCAGGATCATGACCTGAGCTGAAGGCAGATGCTTAACCGACTGAGCCACCTAGGCACCGCTAAGATTTGATGTTTAAGCAATCTCTACACCCCACATGGGGCTTGAACTCAACAACCCCTAGATCAAGAGTCGCATGCTCCACGGCCTGTGACAGCCAGGGCCACCCCCCTCCCCCACCGCCTGCTCTCTGGACTTGCTTTGCATCTTTAAAATATAGCAGTAACAGCTTCAACCCTGTAGGGTTGTTGTGAGTAGTTGATGCCTGTTGGTTGCTTACTTTGGTGCCTGGGCCAGTAGCTATTATTAAGTAGTGTCTCAAAGGCATGGCTACAGCTCCCTTCCTGGGACACCCCCCGACCCCCCACCCCATGACTGACTTTACCGAGGTGAGGTAGCTTTCCAACTTTTTGGTGACAACCCACAGTGATACATACTGTGGCCTAGTACACACCCCCACTTATATCCGAAACCTAGGTATGGGGACGCACTCTTACTACATGCCATGCAAATGTTTTCTCCTTTCAGTTTTATCAAATGCCAGTCATGACCTACTAAATCAATTTTTATAGCCTCTAATGGCTCTGACCTCAATTTGAATACCTGTTCTAGACTATACTTCCTTTTTCCAAATTGACCTTGTATTAGTTTTTTTTTTTTTAAGATTTTATTTACTCATGAGAGACAGAGAGAAAGACACACACACACAGGCAGAGACACAGGCAGAGGGAGAAGCAGGCTCCATGCAGGGAGCCCGATGTGAGACTCGATCCTGGAACCCCAGGATCAGGCCCCAGGCTGAAGGCGGCACTAAACCGCTGAGCCACCAGGGCATCCCTATGTGCTAGTTTCGTATTGCTGCTGTAGCAACTTGCCACCCACAGGCTGGCTGAAAACACAAATGTATTCTCTTAACATTTCTGGAGGTCAAAGTCCCCAGTCTTGGGATGCACAGTGTGGCGTTCCTTCTGTAGGCTCCAGGGGAGGCTTGTTTCCTTCTTTTCCAGCTTCCAGAGGCTGTCCCCGTTCCTGGGCCCTGTGGTCCTGTGACACTCCCCGCTGTGGCCCCATCTCTGACTCACCTGCCTGCTCCCTCTCATAAGGATCTCTGGGATTACACTGGGCCCATCTGGATAATCCAGAATCTTCTTCCTGTTGCAAAATCTTTAATTACATCTGCAAAATTCATGGTTCTGGGGATTAGGACATGGACATCTTGGGGGGGGGCATTATTCTACCTACTGAACCCAGTATTTGAATTATGTATAAATGAATAACCTAGCCTTATAATTTACATACTGATCAAAATGGGACCTGAGCCCACATGAGGTAGCTCATGCCTCAGCCACACTGCAGGCACCTGGGGAAACCCTGACTTTTCACATCATTGCCTCCAGAGATTGGGCACAAACGGGAACTTAAACTACTTGTGTGATGGCTGTTGGGCCAACTGAAGAGTTGCCTAAGCAATCAACCTGGGTTCTGAGGCTGAACTCAGCCTTTCTCAGCATATTCTGGAAAGAACTATTGGATTTTTCTTTGGGTTGCATGATTCTTTGTACACTGCTTCCCACTCTCCCTTACTACCATTAGGGTCTCCTGGGCCTATTATAGGGCCAGTGTCAAGCCTAAAAGCAGACCTCAGCTTTTCTGAGTATCCAACAGGAATTACTAATCCTGCTATTCCCATTTCATAGATGAGGGTACAAAGGCTCAGAGATATTAACTAGATTGCTCAAGGTCACACAACTTGGCAGAGCCACAACCTGACATCACAGCCCAAAGCCTGGAATCAAAGGACTTTGGCAATCACCCAGAGCACCCCCTCTCCTCCCTCATTGATAGTTATGGGGGCCCTGGGCCCAGCCTGAATCTTAGAGGTCATGGGAGGAGAGGGCTTGCAGACCCCGGCACACCAGCACTGTGGGTTTCCCGCTGCCGTCACTGGGACGGGCCTTCTTCCACCAGTGAGAAATGGCCCAAGTTAAAAGACAACTCTGGCTAAGCTCTTGG